GATAGAATGGGTAATTGTTAGAACCCAGTTCGAACAGATCTAGTATCGCGCAGTCGTACATATTTCCATTCGATTTCTGAAAAACGTTTTCTCAATGAGTTCCATTGCAAGCTAAACGATTGATGTTTCACCTTGTCAGAGGAGATAGTGCATTCAAGTTTCCGGGTGATGTTTGTCGCGATAAGTTCATGCCACCCATCTGCAGCGTCTTTATTGGTCCGGTACCCAAGCCGTACCTCAAGTCCGAGTGTAGCTTTGTCAACTATAAAATTTAATGAAATTGCAACCCACATCATCAGACAACTGTAGAAAAAATACTTTGTAAGGCTTATATATGCTCGTTCTGCTTAGGGACTAGCTAAACTGAACTTATAGCGATTTTTTTCGTAAATCAAGTCGCAATAATTATGAGATTTAGCGCTCTACTTTCAAAAATAAAAGAAATTCAATAGAAATTTGGTACCGTATTTGAAGATATCACTATACTCCACTTCAACTTGAAGTAAACCCAATAGAAACTGGAACCATGGCGAATACTCTAACTGGACGCGATCTCTGTAAGATGTCCCTATTTATAAAGAATAAAGATGTGAGGAGGAGACATGAGTTGAATACCTTACGTGAGGCATTTGAGCAACGAAGACGATCTCTCGTAAGTCGAAGGAAGATGGAGTAAATGATGACAAATCCCCAATAATGTTGCATTGCTAAATGTTCTTTGAACTGATAAAGGTATAGAAGTGACTTGACTATCGTCAACTACTTCTAATCCCTCCCATAGCGTCAAAAAACGCTGATTTTGAAAAAAACGTTGAGCAAATGCATTGATATTTTGCTCATGGCACATAGCAAATAAAAACTTGAATGAATCCAATGTCTTTAGAACTATTACCAACTACTAAAATGAAATTACAAAGTCCTAGACATCCTTCGCTTGAGAATCATTTCGAAAGATGGCTTATGAATCATGCTCCTTTTTTCACTATAACAGAAATCCATAAAC